GTGTCATGGGTCCTGTAGGCCTCCCATTGCTGCTGTCTCCATCCCACACTCTGCCATGTGCCACTTTCAGGTCTCCTCACACTGCTGGTGGGTTCCATTTTGTCATAGGGTGCTGGCAGATTACGGGCCTCCCATTGCTGCTGCCAGGCCCGTAATCTGCCATGGGCCCCCGTACCGACTCCTCATGCTGCTGCCAGGCCCGTAATCTGTCATGGGCCCCTGTACCGCCTCCTCATGCTGCTGCCAGGTCCAGAGTGTGTCATGGGTCCCTGTACGGCCTCCCATTGCTGCTGCCACACTCTGCCATGTGCCACTTTCAGGTCTCCTCACACTGCTGGTGGGTTCCATTTTGTCATAGGGTGCTGGCAGATTACGGGCCTCCCATTGCTGCTGCCAGGCCCGTAATCTGCCATGGGCCCCCGTACCGACTCCTCATGCTGCTGCCAGGCCCGTAATCTGTCATGGGCCCCTGTACCGCCTCCTCATGCTGCTGCCAGGTCCAGAGTGTGTCATGGGTCCCTGTACGGCCTCCCATTGCTGCTGTCTCCATCGCCACACTCTGCCATGTGCCACTTTCAGGTCTCCTCACACTGCTGGTGGGTTCCATTTTGTCATACGGGGGTGCTGGCAGATTACGGGCCTCCCATTGCTGCTGCCAGGCCCGTAATCTGCCATGGGCCCCCGTACCGACTCCTCATGCTGCTGCCAGGCCCGTAATCTGTCATGGGCCCCTGTACCGCCTCCTCATGCTGCTGCCAGGTCCAGAGTGTGTCATGGGTCCCTGTACGGCCTCCCATTGCTGCTGCCAGGCCCGTAATCTGCCATGGGCCCCCGTACCGACTCCTCATGCTGCTGCCAGGCCCGTAATCTGTCATGGGCCCCTGTACCGCCTCCTCATGCTGCTGCCAGGTCCAGAGTGTGTCATGGGTCCCTGTACGGCCTCCCATTGCTGCTGTCTCCATCGCCACACTCTGCCATGTGCCACTTTCAGGTCTCCTCACACTGCTGGTGGGTTCCATTTTGTCATAGGGTGCTGGCAGATTACGGGCCTCCCATTGCTGCTGCCAGGCCCGTAATCTGCCATGGGCCCCCGTACCGACTCCTCATGCTGCTGCCAGGCCCGTAATCTGTCATGGGCCCCTGTACCGCCTCCTCATGCTGCTGCCAGGTCCAGAGTGTGTCATGGGTCCCTGTACGGCCTCCCATTGCTGCTGTCTCCATCGCCACACTCTGCCATGTGCCACTTTCAGGTCTCCTCACACTGCTGGTGGGTTCCATTTTGTCATAGGGTGCTGGCAGATTACGGGCCTCCCATTGCTGCTGCCAGGCCCGTAATCTGCCATGGGCCCCCGTACCGACTCCTCATGCTGCTGCCAGGCCCGTAATCTGTCATGGGCCCCTGTACCGCCTCCTCATGCTGCTGCCAGGTCCAGAGTGTGTCATGGGTCCCTGTACGGCCTCCCATTGCTGCTGTCTCCATCGCCACACTCTGCCATGTGCCACTTTCAGGTCTCCTCACACTGCTGGTGGGTTCCATTTTGTCATAGGGTGCTGGCAGATTACGGCCTCCCATTGCTGCTGCCAGGCCCGTAATCTGCCATGGGCCCCCGTACCCTCCTCATGCTGCTGCCAGGCCCGTCAATCTGTGTCCCATGGGCCCCTGTACCATCGCCACACTCTCATGCTGCTGCCAGGTCCAGAGTGTGTCATGGGTCCCTGTACGGCCTCCCATTGCTGCTGCAGGCCCGTAATCTGCCATGGGCCCCCGTACCGACTCCTCATGCTGCTGCCAGGCCCGTAATCTGTCATGGGCCCCTGTACGCCTCCTCATGCTGCTGCCAGGTCCAGAGTGTGTCATGGGTCCCTGTACGGCCTCCCATTGCTGCTGTCTCCATCGCCACACTCTGCCATGTGCCACTTTCAGGTCTCCTCACACTGCTGGTGGGTTCCATTTTGTCATAGGGGTGCTGGCAGATTACGGGCCTCCCATTGCTGCTGCCAGGCCCGTAATCTGCCATGGGCCCCCGTACCGACTCCTCATGCTGCTGCCAGGCCCGTAATCTGTCATGGGCCCCTGTTCCGCCTCCTCATGCTGCTCCAGGTCCAGAGTGTGTCATGGGTCCCTGTACGGCCTCCCCATTGCTGCTGCCAGGCCCGTAATCTGCCATGGGCCCCCGTACCGACTCCTCATGCTGCTGCCAGGCCCGTAATCTGTCATGGGCCCCTGTACCGCCTCCTCATGCTGCTGCCAGGTCCAGAGTGTGTCATGGGTCCCTGTACGGCCTCCCATTGCTGCTGTCTCCCATCGCCACACTCTGCCATGTGCCACTTTCAGGTCTCCTCACACTGCTGTGGGTTCCATTTTGTCATAGGGTGCTGGCAGATTACGGGCCTCCCATTGCTGCTGCCAGGCCCGTAATCTGCCATGGGCCCCCGTACCGACTCCTCATGCTGCTGCCAGGCCCGTAATCTGTCATGGGCCCCTGTACCGCCTCCTCATGCTGCTGCCAGGTCCAGAGTGTGTCATGGGTCCCTGTACGGCCTCCCATTGCTGCTGCCAGGCCACCGTGCCATGCCACCAGGTCTCCCCCGTACTGCGGGTTCCTCATAGGGTGCTGCTGCCATTGCTGCTGCCAGGCCCGTAATCTGTCATGGGCCCCTGTACCGCCTCCTCATGCTGCTGCCAGGTCCAGAGTGTGTCATGGGTCCCTGTACGGCCTCCCATTGCTGCTGTCTCCATCGCCACACTCTGCCATGTGCCACTTTCAGGTCTCCTCACACTGCTGGTGGGTTCCATTTTGTCATAGGGTGCTGTATGGCCTCCCATTGCTGCTGCCAGGCCCGTAATCTGCCATGGGCCCCCGTACCGACTCCTCATGCTGCTGCCAGGCCCGTAATCTGTCATGGGCCCCTGTACCGCCTCCTCATGCTGCTGCCAGGTCCAGAGTGTGTCATGGGTCCCTGTACGGCCTCCCATTGCTGCTGTCTCCATCGCCACACTCTGCCATGTGCCACTTTCAGGTCTCCTCACACTGCTGGTGGGTTCCATTTTGTCATAGGGTGCTGGCAGATTACGGGCCTCCCATTGCTGCTGCCAGGCCCGTAATCTGCCATGGGCCCCCGTACCGACTCCTCATGCTGCTGCCAGGCCCGTAATCTGTCATGGGCCCCTGTACCGCCTCCTCATGCTGCTGCCAGGTCCAGAGTGTGTCATGGGTCCCTGTACGGCCTCCCATTGCTGCTGCCAGGCCCGTAATCTGCCATGGGCCCCCGTACGGGACTCCCATGCTGCTGCCAGGCCCGTAATCTGTCATGGGCCCTGTACCGCCTCCTCATGCTGCTGCCAGGTCCAGAGTGTGTCATGGGTCCCTGTACGGCCTCCCATTGCTGCTGTCTCCATCGCCACACTCTGCCATGTGCCACTTTCAGGTCTCCTCACACTGCTGGTGGGTTCCATTTTGTCATAGGGTGCTGGCAGATTACGGGCCTCCCATTGCTGCTGCCAGGCCCGTAATCTGCCATGGGCCCCCGTACCGACTCCTCATGCTGCTGCCAGGCCCGTAATCTGTCATGGGCCCCTGTACCGCCTCCTCATGCTGCTGCCAGGTCCAGAGTGTGTCATGGGTCCCTGTAGGTCTCTCCCATTGCTGCTGCCAGGCCCGTAATCTGCCATGGGCCCCCGTACGGGACTCCTCATGCTGCTGCCAGGCCCGTAATCTGTCATGGGCCCCCCCTGTACCGCCTCCTCATGCTGCTGCCAGGTCCAGAGTGTGTCATGGGTCCCTGTACGGCCTCCCATTGCTGCTGTCTCCATCGCCACACTCTGCCATGTGCCACTTTCAGGTCTCCTCACACACTGCTGGTGGGTTCCATTTTGTCATAGGGTGCTGGCAGATTACGGGCCTCCCATTGCTGCTGCCAGGCCCGTAATCTGCCATGGGCCCCCGTACCGACTCCTCATGCTGCTGCCAGGCCCGTAATCTGTCATGGGCCCCTGTACCGCCTCCTCATGCTGCTGCCAGGTCCAGAGTGTGTCATGGGTCCCTGTACGGCCTCCCATTGCTGCTGTCTCCATCGCCACACTCTGCCATGTGCCACTTTCAGGTCTCCTCACACTGCTGGTGGGTTCCATTTTGTCATAGGGTGCTGGCAGATTACGGGCCTCCCATTGCTGCTGCCAGGCCCGTAATCTGCCATGGGCCCCCGTACCGACTCCTCATGCTGCTGCCAGGCCCGTAATCTGTCATGGGCCCCTGTACCGCCTCCCTCATGCTGCTGCCAGGTCCAGAGTGTGTCATGGGTCCCTGTACGGCCTCCCATTGCTGCTGCCATGCCACAATCTGCCCGTAATCTGCCATGGGCCCCTGTACCGACTCCTCATGCTGCTGCCAGGCCCGTAATCTGTCATGGGCCCCTGTACCGCCTCCTCATGCTGCTGCCAGGTCCAGAGTGTGTCATGGGTCCCTGTACGGCCTCCCATTGCTGCTGTCTCCATCGCCACACTCTGCCATGTGCCACTTTCAGGTCTCCTCACACTGCTGGTGGGTTCCATTTTGTCATAGGGTGCTGGCAGATTACGGCCTCCCATTGCTGCTGCCAGGCCCGTAATCTGCCATGGGCCCCCGTACCGCCTCCTCATGCTGCTGCCAGGTCCAGAGTGTGTCATGGGTCCCTGTACGGCCTCCCATTGCTGCTGTCTCCATCGCCACACTCTGCCATGTGCCACTTTCAGGTCTCCTCACACTGCTGGTGGGTTCCATTTTGTCATAGGGTGCTGGCAGATTACGGGCCTCCCATTGCTGCTGCCAGGCCCGTAATCTGCCATGGGCCCCCGTACCGACTCCTCATGCTGCTGCCAGGCCCGTAATCTGTCATGGGCCCCTGTACCGCCTCCTCATGCTGCTGCCAGGTCCAGAGTGTGTCATGGGTCCCTGTACGGCCTCCCATTGCTGCTGTCTCCATCGCCACACTCTGCCATGTGCCACTTTCAGGTCTCCTCACACTGCTGGTGGGTTCCATTTTGTCATAGGGTGCTGTATGGCCTCCCATTGCTGCTGCCAGGCCCGTAATCTGCCATGGGCCCCCGTACCGACTCCTCATGCTGCTGCCAGGCCCGTAATCTGTCATGGGCCCCTGTACCGCCTCCTCATGCTGCTGCCAGGTCCAGAGTGTGTCATGGGTCCCTGTACGGCCTCCCATTGCTGCTGTCTCCATCGCCACACTCTGCCATGTGCCACTTTCAGGTCTCCTCACACTGCTGGTGGGTTCCATTTTGTCATAGGGTGCTGGCAGATTACGGGCCTCCCATTGCTGCTGCCAGGCCCGTAATCTGCCATGGGCCCCGTACCGACTCCTCATGCTGCTGCCAGGCCCGTAATCTGTCATGGGCCCCTGTACCGCCTCCTCCTCATGCTGCTGCCAGGTCCAGAGTGTGTCATGGGTCCCTGTACGGCCTCCCATTGCTGCTGCCAGGCCCGTAATCTGCCATGGCCCCCGTACCGTCTCCTCCTCATGCTGCTGCCAGGCCCGTAATCTGTCATGGGCCCCTGTACCGCCTCCTCATGCTGCTGCCAGGTCCAGAGTGTGTCATGGGTCCCTGTACGGCCTCCCATTGCTGCTGTCTCCATCGCCACACTCTGCCATGTGCCACTTTCAGGTCTCCTCACACTGCTGGTGTATTCCATTTTGTCATAGGGTGCTGTATGGCC